TTTAAATTTAAGAGATCATCAAATTAAATATATATATATATATATATATATATATATATATATACACACCTCTTGGTATCCACAAACCAAAAACCTATAATAGATACACACAAAAGAGAAAGGAATCCAAATATAATACTAAAGATAGTCATCAAATCACAGGGAAAAGAAAAAGAAGGGAACAAAAAAGAAGTACAAAAACAATTAGTAAAATGGCAATAAGTACATGCCTATCAATAATTACTTTAAATGTAAATGGACTAAACTCTCCAACTGAAAAACAAAGAGTGGTAGAATGGATTAAAAAAAAAGGCCCATATATATGCTGCCTACTAGAGACTCAATTCAGATCTAAAGGGACAGAGAGACTGAATGTAAGGGAATGGAAAATGGTATTCCATGAAAATAGAAGTGAGAGGAAAGCTGGGACAGCAATATTTACATCAGATAGAAGAGACTTTAAAACGAAGATTGTAACAAGAAGCAATGAAGGACATTACATAATGATAAAGGGATCAATGCAACAAGAAGATATAACAAATTGTAAATATATATGCACCCAACATGGGAGCACCTGAATACATAAAACAAATATTAACAAATATAAAGGGAGAAATTTACAGTAATACAATAATAGTAGGGGACTTTAACACCCCCACTTACATCAATGGACAGATCATTCAGACAGAAAATCAGTAAAGAAACACTGGCCTTAAATGATACATTAGACCAGATTGAATTAATAGATATATGTAAAATATTTCATCCAAAAACAGCAGAATACACATTCTTTTCAAGTACACATGGAACATTCTCCAGGATAGATCACACGCTAGGCCACAAAACAAGCCTCAAAAACTTTAAAAAGACTGAAATCATATCAAGCATCTTTTTGACGGCAACAGTATAACACTAGATTAACTAAAAGAAAAAAAAAAACTGCAAAAAACCCCAAACAAATGGAGTATAAACAACATGCTACTAAACAACCACTAGGTCACTGGAGAGATCAAAGAAGAAATAAAAAAATACCTAGAGACAAATGAAAATAAACACAGAACAATTCAAAATCTATGAGATGTCATTGCAGCACTATTTACAATAGCTAGGTAACGGAAGCAACCTAAATGTCCATCAACAGACAAATGGATAAAGAAGATGTGGTACATATATACAATGGAATATTACTCAGCCATAAAAAGGAACGAAATTTGGTCATTTGTAGAGATGTGGATGCACCTAGAGACTTTCATACAGAGTGAAGTCAGAAAGAGAAAAACAAATATCGTATATTAAGGCATATATGTGGAATGTAGAAAAATGGTACAGATGAACCGGTTTGCAAGGCAGCAACAAAGACACAGATGTAGGGAACAAATGTATGGACACCAAGGGGGAATGCCGGTTGGGGGGGTGGTGGGATGAATTGGGAGATTGGGATTGACATATATAAAGTAATATGTATAAAATAAATAACTAACAAGAACTTGCTGTATAAAAAAAAGTAAAATAAATTCAAAAAAAACAAAAAAACAAAATCTATGGGATGCAGTAAACACAGTGCTAAAAGGAAAGTGTATAGTGATTGCAAGCCTACCTCAGGAAACAAGAAAATTTTCAAATAAACAATCTAATCTTATACTTAAAAGAACTAGAAAAAGAAGAATAAACAAAACCCAAAATTAGTAAAGGAAAGATATAATAAAGATCAGAGTAGAAATAAGTGTAATAGAGACTAAAAAACAATATAAAAGATCAATGAAACTAAGAGCTAATTCTCTGGAAAGATAAACAAAATTGATAAACCTTTAGCCAGACTAATCACCAAAAAAAGAGAGAGGGTCCAAATAAATAAAATCAGGAATGATATCAGAGGAGTTATAACCAACACCACAAAAATACAAAGGATCATGAGAGATCACTCCAAATAATTGTGCACCAATAAAACTGACAACCTAGAAGAAATGGATAAATTCCTAGAAATGTATAATCTCCCAAGACCAAATCAGGAAGAAAAAAAATATGAACAGACTGATTACCAGTAATAAAGGTGAATCAGTAATTTAAAAATTCCCAGCAAACAAAAGTCCAGGACCAGATTGCATCACAGGTGAATTCTACAAAATATTAAAGAACAGTTAACACCTAACTTCTCAAACTACTCCAAAAAATGGAAGAGGAAGGAACATTTCCAAATTCATTCTATCAGGCCAGCATCACCCTGATACCAAAATCAGGCAAAGACCACACACACACACATACACACACACACACACACACACACACACACACACGCACACACAAGAAAATTATAGGCTAATAGCAATGATGAACATAGATGCAAAAATCCTCAACAAAATATTAGTAAAACAGTAAATTCAACAAAACATTAAAAGGATCATACACCATAAACAAGGGTGATTTATCCCAGGATGCAAGGATAGTTCAAAATCTGCACATCAATCAATGTGATATACTACATTAACACAATGAAGAATGAAAATCATATGATCATCTTAATAGATGCAGAAAAGCTTTTGACAAAATTCAATATCAATTTATGATAAAAACTCCAAACAAAGTGGGTATAGAGGGAACAGACCTCAACATAATAAAGGCCAAATATGACAAACCTACAGTCAACATCATACTGAAGGGTGAAAAGCTGAAAGCATTTCCTCTAAGATCAGGAACAAGACAAGGATGCCCACTCTTGTCATCTTTATTCAACATAGTACTGGAAGTCCTAGCCACGGTAATAACACAAGAAAAAGAAACAACGTGAATCCAAATTGGAAAGGAAGAAGTAAAACTGTTACTGTTTGCAGATGACATGATACTATACATAGAAATCCTAAATATGCCACCAGAAAACTAGTAGAGCTCATTAATGAATTCAGTAAGGTTACAGGATACAAAACTAATATACAGAAATATGTTGCCTTTCTATATACTAATAACAAACTATCAGAAAGAGAAATTAAGAAAACAATACCATTTACAAGCACAAACAACTGCATCAAAAAAAACAAAATACATAGTAATAAATATAACTAAAGAGGTAGAAGATCTGTACTCACAAAAATATAAGGCACAGGCCTAGAGTCTGTCATACAGAGTGAAGTAAGTCAGAAAGAGAAAAACAAACACTGTATGCTAACATATATATATATGGAATCTAAAAAAAAAAATAATAAGGTCATGAAGAACCTAGGGGCAAGACGGGAATAAAGACCCAGACCTACTAGAGAATGGACTTGAGGATACGGGGAGGGGGACGGGATGGGTAAGCTGGGACAAAGTGAGAGAGTAGCATGGACATATATACACTACCAAATGTAAAATAGATAGCTAGTGGGAAGCAGCCGCATAGCACAGGGAGATCAGCTCAGTGCTTTTTGACCAGCTAGAAGGGTGGGATAGGGAGGGTGAGAGGGAGGGAGACGAAAGGGGGAAGAGATATGGGGATATATGTATATTATAACTGATTCACTTCGTTATAAAGCAGAAACTAACACACCATTGCAAAGCAATTATACTCCAATGAAAACGTTAAAAAAATAAAATATATGTTAAAAAAATAAATAAATATAAGGCACAGGGACTTTCCTGGTGGTCCACTGGTAAAGAATCTGCCTTCTAATGAAGGGGACGCAGGTTTGATTCCTGGTCAGGGAACTAAGATCCCACATGCTGCAGGGCAACTAAGCCCGTGCGCCACATCTACTGAGCCCGCGCACCTCAACTAGAGAGCTCATGCACCCTGGAGCCCGCATGTCACAACTACAGAGCCCACATGCCCTGGAGCCCGCACGTCACAACTAGAGAGAGAAAATCCACACACCACAACTAGAGAGAAGCCTTGCACTCCACAACTAGAGAGAAACCCGTGCCGCAACTAGAGAGAAGCCCATGCGCTGCAATGAATAATCCCGCATACTGCAACGAAGACCAGATATAGTCATAAATAAATAAATAAGGCACTGGTAAAAGAAACTGACGATAACACAAAGAAATGGAAAGACATACCATGCTCATGGATTGGAAGAATTAATATTCTTAAAAAGATCATATACACATTTCCAGATTCAGTGCAATCTGTATCAAAATACCAATGGCATTTTTCACAGAACTAGAAAAATTCTAAAATTTGCATGGAAACACAGAAGACCCCAAGTAGGCCAAGCAATCTTGAGAAAGAAGAACAGAGCTGGAGGTATCATGTTCCCTGATTTCAAGCTATACTGCAAAGCTACAGTAATGAAAATAGAATGGTACAGGCACAAAAACAGACACATAGATCAGTGGGACAGAATAGAGAGCCCAGAAATAAACACACACTTGTATAGTTAATCTATGACAAAGGAGGCAAGAAAATACAATGGGGGAAAAATAAGACTTCTTTTATAAATGGTGTTGGCAAAACTGGACAAGCAAAAACTACATGCAAAAGAATCAAACTGAACTACTTTTCCACACATATATAAAAATAAACTCAAAATGGATTAAAGACTTAAATGTAAGACCTGAAGCCATAAAACTCCGAGAAGAAAACATAGACAGTACACTCTTTCACACTGGTCTTAGTAATATCTTTCTAGATATGTCTCCTCAGGCAAGGGAAATAAAGCAAAAATAAGAAAATGGGACTATATTAAACTATATTAAAAAATGGGACTATATTAAACTATATTAAAAATTTTTTCACAGCAAAGCAAACTATCAACAAAATGAAAAGGCAACTTACTGAATGGGAGAAGGTATTTGCAAATGATATATCTGATAAGGTGTTATACTATCCGAAATACACAAAGAACTCATATAACTAAACTTCAAAAAATAAAATAAAATAAACAACCTGACTAAAAAGTGGGCAGAGGACCTGAAAAGACATTTTTCCAAAGAAGACACATAGACAGCCAACAGACACATGAAAAAATTCTCAACATCACTAACCATCAGAGAAATGCAAATTAAAACCACAAGATACCACCACACACCTGTCAGAATGGCTGTCATCATGAAGACAAGAAATAACAAGTGTTGGCAAGGATGTGGAGAAAAAGGAACCCCTGTGCACTGCTGGTAGGATTGTAAATTGATATAGCCACTATGGTAAACAGTATGGAGGTTCTGCAAAAAATTAAAAATAGAACTGCCATATGATCTAGCAATTTCACTTCTGGGTATTTACTGGATGAAAACAAAAACAATAATTCAAAAAGATATGTGTGCCCCTATGTTCACTGAGGCATTATTTATAATAGCCAAGATAGGGAAGCAACTTAGGTGTCCACGGATAGATGAATGGATAAAGAAGATGTGATGTATTTTATATATATGACAGAAAATTACCCAGCCATATAAAAGTGAAATCTTGCCAATTGTACAATATGGACGGGTCTAACGTATATTATGCTGAGTGAAATAAGTCAGCCAGAGAAAGACAAATACCACATGATCTCACTTATATGTGGAATCTATCAAAACAAACAAAACAAAATGAAAACAGACTCATAGATACAGAAAACAAATGGCTGATTGTCAGAGGGGAGGAGGGAGGGAGGGTAAAGTATGTGAAGGAGATTAAGAGGTACAAGCCTCCAGTTATGAAATAAATAAGCCATAGTGATGTAATATACAGCATAAGGAATATGATCAATAATATTGTAATAATTTTGTATGGGGACAGTTGGTTACTAGACTTGTGGTGATCGTTTCATAATGTACACAAATATCAAATCACTATGTAGAACACCTGAAACTAACATAATATTGTGCTTCAACTATATTTTAATTTTTAAAAAGAATAAACCCAAAGAAATCCATGCCACAACATATCACAATTAAACTTCTGCAAAACTAAAGATGAAGAAAAAATCTTGAAAGCAGCCAGAGAAAAATGACACCTATCCTATAGAAGAAAAACAATTCAAATGACACAAGATTTCTCATCACAAACCATGAAGGCCAGAAATAAGTGGCACAATATTTTTCAAGTCCAGAAAATACTGCAAAACCATAATCCTATTCCCAGCAAAAACATTCCTCACAAATAAAGAAGAAATCAAGACATTTTCAGATAAGGGAAAACTAAGAGAATTTTTCACCAGCAAATCTTAATAGAATAGCTAAAGGAAGTTCCCATAACAAGAATGGAAAGATAAATAAGGAACCTTGGGATATCAGGAAGGAGGAAGAACACAGGAAAAAAAAATATGGGTTAAAAAAAAGCTTTTCCATCTCATCCTGATTTTCTAAATTATATTAATGTTTGAAAGAAAATTATAGCACTGTCTGATGTGATTCTAAATAGGTAAATTAAATAATTAAGAAAATTATATTATAAAGAGGTCAGGGTAAAGAGATATAAAGGGAGATATTCTCTCTATACAGGCACACCTCATTTTATTGTGCACTGCTTTATTGTGCTTCACAGATTTTGCATTTTTTACAAATTGAAGGTTTGTGAGCAACCCTTCACTGATCAAGTCTATTGACTCCATTTTTCCAAACAGCATTTGTTCATGTAGTGTCCCTTTGTCACGTTTTGGTAAATTCTTTGAATATTTCAAGCTTTTTCATTATTATTGTATCTGCTATGGGGATCTGTAATCAGTGATCTTTGATGGTACTACGGTCATTGTTGTGGGGCACCAAAAACCATGCCCATAAAAGACAGTGAACTTAACTGATAAATGTGTGTGCTCTGACTGCTCCACTGACCAGCCATACCCCTATCTCTCTCCCTCTCCTCAGGCCTCCCTATTCCCTGAGACACAACAGTATTCAAATTAGGCCAATTAATAACTCTACAATGGCCTCTAAGTGTTCAAGTGAAAGGAAGAGTCAATCAATGTGACAAATTTATGGTTGTCTTATTTTAAGAAATTGCCACAGCCACCCAACATTCAGTAATCACCACCCTGATCAGTGAGCAGCTGTCAACATCAAGGCAAGACCCTTCACCAGCAAAAATATCATGACTCACTGAAGGCTCAGACAGTGGTTAGCAGTTTTCAGCTATAAAGTATTTTTAAGGCATGTACATTGTTTTTTTTACACATAATGCCATTGCACACTTAATAGGATACAGTATAGTGTAAACATAACGTTTGTGTGCACTAGGAAACCAAAAAAACTAAACTCTGTGTGTCTCACTTTATTGCAACATTCACTTTATTGCAGTGGTCTGGAACTGAATCCACAATATCTACAAGGTATGCCTGTACTTCACTCTGACAGGTGAAATAACAACACCAACAGAATATAATGTTATATGTATATATAATATAACATCTACAGCAACCACTAAGAAAAAGCTATAAAAAGAGATACACTCAAAAACACTAATGATAAAATAAAATGGAGTTCAAAAATATGTTTGAGTAATAAACAGGAAAGCAGGAAAAAGAAAATAGAGATGAAAAGCAAGGAGGGGGTCTGGGGCCTGCAGCGGTGGAGGCAGCGGTGGTGGTGGCAGCAGGTCGGTGTAGAAAATGGTGCTGGTGCAGTGGACTGGGCCTCTCCCTGTGGCGCTACGGAGGGCTTGAGGCTTGCAAGCCTCATCTGCCACGCCCCACTTGCTCAAGCACTTTACAGACATGAGAGAACTGGAAGCTAAAGCTACCAAAGACATGGAAAGAAATCTTAGCAGGAAGCTTGCACAAGCCTCTTAGATAGCCTCGTCCGCCAGAGGGCAGACAGCAGAAGCAAGAAAACTAAAATCCTACGGCCTGTGGAACGAAAACCACATTCACAGGAAGACAGACAAAAGGAAAATGCAGAGGGCTATGTACCAGAGGAAGGAACAAGATAAAACCCCAGAAAAACAACTAAATGAAGTGGAGATAGGGAACCTTCTAGAAAAACAATTCACAATAATGATACTGAAGATGATACAGGACGTTGGAAAAAGAATGGAGACAAAGAGTGAGAACATGCAAGAAATGTTTAACAAAGACTTAGAAGAATTAAAGAACAAATACCAGAAGAATTAAAGAACAAACAAATAGAGATGAACAATACAATAACTGAAATGAAAAATACACTAGAAGGAATCAATAGGAGAATAACTATAGGCAGAATAATGGATAAGTGACCTGGAAGACAGAATGGTGGAATTCACTGCTGAAGAACAGAATAAAGAAAAAAGCATGAAAAGAAATGAACACAGCCTAAGAGACCTCCAGGACAACATTAAACGCAACAACATTTGCATTATAGGGGTCCCAGAAGGAGGAGAGAGAGAGAAAGGACCAGAGGAAATATGTGAAGAGATTATAGTCAAAAACTTCCCTAACATGGGAAAGGACATAGCCACCCAAGTCCAGGAAGAACAGAGAGCCCCAGGCAGGATAAACCCAAAGAGAAACACACTGAGACACATAGTAATCAAATTGAAAAATTATTGAAAGTAACAAGGGAAAAACGACAAATAACATTCAAGGAAACTCCCATAACGTTAACAGCTAATTTCTCATTAGAAACTCTACAAGCCAGAAGAGAGTGGCATAATATATTTAAAGTGATGAAAGGGAAAAACCTACAACCAAGTCTACCCAGCAAGGATCTCATTCAGATTCGATGGAGAAATCAAAAGCTTTACAGACAAGCAAAAGCTAAGAGAATTGAGTTCTACCAAACCAGCTCTACGGCAAATGCTAAAGGAACTTCTCTGAGTGGGAAACACAAGAGAAGAAAAGGACCCACAAAAGCAAACACAAAACAATTGATTCACTTTGTTATAAAGCAGAAACTAACACACCATTGTAAAGCAATTATACTCCAATAAAGATGTTTAAAAATATGGGCAAAGGACTTAAAAAAAACAATTAAGAAAATGATAATAACAACATACATATTGATAATTACCTTAAACATGAATGGATTAAATGCTCCAACCAAACGACACAGGCTGGCAGAATGGATACAAAAACAAGACCCATATATATGCTGTCTACAAGAGACCCACTTCAGACCTAGGGACACATAAAGACTTAAAGTGAGGGGATGGAAAAAGATATTCCATGCAAATGGGAATAAAAAGAAAGCTGGATGCGCTTCCCTGGTGGCGCAGTGGTTGGGAATCCGCCTGCCAATGCAGGGGACCCGCATTCGAGCTCTGGTCCGGGAGGATCCCCCATGCCGTGGAGAACCAGGTCCATGCGCCACAATTCCTGAAGCCCGCGTGCCTGGAGCCCATGCTCCACAAAGGGAGAAGCCACTGCAGTGAGAAGCCCATGCACCGCAATGAAGAGTGGCCCCCGCTCACCGCAGCTAGAGAGGGCCCACATGGAGCAACGAAGACCCAATGCAGCCAAGGATGTATGGATAAATAAATAAATAAATAAATAAATAAGAAAGCTGGAGTAGCAATACTCATATCAGATAAAATAGACTGTAAAATAAAGAATGTTACAAGAGACAAGGAAGGACATTACATGATGATCAAGGGATCAATCCAAGAAGAAGATATAACAATTATAAATATAAGTACCCAACATAGGAGCACCTCAGTACATAAGGCAACTGCTAACAGCTATAAATAAAAGAGGAATTTGACAGCAACATAATAATAGTGGGGTACTTTACCACCTCACCTACACCAATTTTCAGATCATCCAGACAGAAAATTAATAAGGAAACACAAGCTTTAAATGACACAATAGACTAGATAGATCTAATTGATATTTATAGGACATTCCATCCAAATCAGCAGATTACTCTTTCTTATCAACTGCACATGTAACATTCTGCAGGATAGATCACATTTGGGTCACAAATCAAGCCTCAGTAAATTTAAGAAAACTGAAATCATATCAAGCATTTTTTCCAACCACAACACTATGAGACTAGAAATCAATTTCAAGGAAAAAAACGTAAAAAACACAAAAACATAGAGGCTAAACAATATGTTACTAAATAACCAAGTGAACACTGAAGAAATCAGAGAGGAAATAAAATAATACCTAGAGACAAATGACAACAAAAACACAATGATCCAAAACCTAAAGGATGCAGCAAAAGCAGTTCTAAGAGGGAAGTT